CCACTGGAAATGTGCTTGCCACTGTCCCCCCACAAGCCCTGAAAGTTGAACAGAAAGCAGCAGTGTTCCAGAAGGACTTTGAACTGGCTTGAAATGGGAACGGTGCGGATTACTTCTGATTGTTCATTGATTTAGTCCCGTGCTGCTTTAGAAGATCCTGGACTTCTTTCTGAACTTCTATAGAAAAGGCTGAGTTTGATTTTGAAGTCTGTACTGCTTTGAGTGCCTTTTAGCAGCCTGAATAGCCCTGATTGGCCCGATCGCTTCAGAACTTGGGAGCGAAGCAGGGTTTGCCGGTGGTTAGGACTTGGATGCAAGACCAGGATTCCTGTGCAGAGGCAGGCAATGACAAAACCGCCTCTGCTCGCCTCTTGCCTTGAAAACCCCACGGTTCCGGAGTCCTCTTGAGTTGGCTTGTGACATGATGGGACAACTGAGTGCCTTTTGGGTGGCCGAGTGGTTGAGAAACAATCGTAATAGTAGTGGTAACAAGTGTAGGTGACATAGCGAGGAGACATTTGGTGAGCTCTGCTTCTTGTGCCGAAGTGGGAGAAAACCGCATCTCCCTTTGCCCTCTGTCTCTTCTAAAAGTGCAATGGCACTCTGGGGGAAAAAACAGGATTCTTTTTTGTACATAATACTGCTTGAGTGATGGTGTAATGTTTTCTGATTTTTTCCCCAAAGTGCACCATATGTTTCATCTCGGCAACCCTTAAAACAATCTTGCAAGGCAGGTCAGTATTATCCTCCCCGTATTACGGATGGGGTGAGGCTGAGAGCAAGTCAGCTGCTTTAAGTCACCTGTGAGTTCATGGCTGGGAAGATTTGAACCAGGGACCTCCTGATTCACAACTCTGTGTTAGCGGAGGCGTGGGGCTGGGACTCGGTGGTGGAGTCTCTTCCTTGGCATGCAGAAGGTTCTAGGTTCAATCCCCGGCATTTCCCGTTCAAAGGACCAGGCAGTAGGTGACGTGAAAGACCTCAGCCTGAGACCCCTGGAGAGCTGAATTCAGTCTGAGTAGACAAGCCTCTCCTTGAGGGACTGATGGTCTGATTCAGTATGAGGCAGCTTCATGCGTGTGTCCATGTATGAAATGCTTTGTGGTTTTGGGGAGAGAGCAGCTAACTACCATTGTTGACTTTTTATGCACACACACACGATCGGCTTCTCTGATTTCAAACCCGACAGGTGGAACTCTTCTTATCCTTTTAGCAACGGGCCCATAAAGGCCTTTGCCTTTCTCTTTCCAGGCCACGTTGGAAAGCGAGCATCTCCTCGATCAGTCACACGTGAAATCGAAGCTGGAGAGGCTGGATGTGCTAGAGAAGGAATACGCCAGGCTGACGGCGATGCAGTCCCTTGCGGAGGTGGGTGATCCTGACTCCTCGGGCATCGCGGCCTAGGATTTGAGTTCGTCACCGGGGCTGAGCATCATTGTAACTGTTCAGCCTGTCGTAGTGCTTTGAAGTAGTTTCTCAAACACACGGAAGTTAAGCGTGGGGCCCTGCCATTGCTCGGTGGTAGAGCATGCGCTGGGCATACGGAGCCCGGCATCTCCAATTAAAAGGACGAGGTCATAGGTGATGTGAAAGACCCCTGCCTGAGACCCAGGAGAGCAGCTGTCAGTCAGAGCAGATGATCGTAGAATCATAGAGTTGGAAGGGACCTCCAGGGTCATCTAGTCCAAGCCTGGCATAACGCAGGAAATTCACAAATACCTCCCCCCCCATGCCCCCAGTGACCCCTGTTCCGTGCCCAGATACTGACCTTCCTGCAACCTTGTGCTGGTTTTAATTTGGTTTAAAAATCTTGTAATTTGATTAATTGTGGCAGAAAGACTGTTGATTTATTTAAAGGCAAATATTTACCTATCAATTCCCGTATCATAAGTTTTCATCCCACCCCTACCCTGTTCCCCTCCCCCCAGTCCCCCAGCATGGTATTCAGGGGACAGAAGGGCAGGGCTGTGAACTGGGACTTGGCGTGGCCCGCTCTCCTTCCCCTGCCCTGTGTCATCGGAAGCCCCTTTGACTTTGCAAACAGGGACGCTTGGAGTCCCTGGGTGCTCTAAGGCAGCTGATGCCATCCTAAGCAGAGGTACCTTGTTCTGTAGCATTTCAGGTTCATTTGCTTGTTCATCTTCCACCATTATATCTGCCATCAAATGTCAGCAGTGCCCTTCCACTCTCTACATCGGACAAACAAGTCAGTCCCCGCGCAAAAGTATACCGGATATAAATCTGGCATTAAAAACTGCAACACTTAAAAACTGGTGGGAGAACATTTTACTCTTCCAGGTCATTCCATTGCTGACCTAAGGGAGGCAGTCCTCAAAAGAAGAAGCTTCAAGGGAAAATTACAACACAGGGTTACTGAACTTGAGTTCATTCACAAGTTCAGAACAATGGATCCTCCAGGGCTGAATAGGGACCTAGGATTTTTATATTCACAAGATGTTAATTTTCTGGCCCCTGGGATTTCCCCTCTGCTCTAATCAAGCTGCATGTACACATTGTGCCTTTACATCCTTTACAAGCATTCTTTGCAACCCCCCTCCCACCTTCTGACTCGGATAAAAGGACTCAGATTTCCGTTTCTACTGTACTGTGTCTGACGAAGGCTTCTACCCTGAAAGTCTTGGTCTTTAAGGTGCTACTGGGCTCGAATCTAACCAGGATTTTAGTTTGTTTTTTTGTTGTTGTTTTTTTTTAAAAAGGTTACACCCTTGAATGGATTTAGAAGGGTATAATCTGCTTAGGCTCCCACTGCAAATATTTCACTGTGGTGTTCTTGTTTTTGTGATAAATGTCATGTTGATGCTTGACACAGGGGTACTTTCAAAACAATTTATTTGATTCGCGCACAGTTTATTGGAAGAATTAAAATTCATGCAACTAAACTAAGGTTAAAGAATCTGTTCTGCTGAATTGTGTTGAATCTGGAGCCAAGATCTCCAGCCCTGCAGGGGTACTTTCAAAACAATTTATTTGATTCATGCACAGTTTATTGGAACAATTAAAATTCATGCAAACTAAACTAAGATTAAAGAATCTGTTCTGCTGAATGGTGTTGAATCGAGAGCCAAGATCTCCAGCCCTGCGCCGCAAGAAACTCAGGTACCAGGAAAACTACTAGACCAAAAATAATGCTGAGTTATATTACGCAGGCTAATGTGAAGCCTACCTGTCACTGTATATTTCTTGTGTTACACAACCTTGCGTGATTTCCCCCCCCAACACACACTGTTATTTTTGTGAGGCTTCTCTGCTCTGGTTCCCCTGGCAACTGAACTCGGAGCAAGTGAATAGCCCTTCCTTGTGATGCCTGGAGCCACGGATCTGATAAGCAACAGTCCTCTCTCCGTTCTGTGTGGGTTCTCTGTTGCATTGGAGTCCTGCCCTTCCTTCAAAGGGGCCAGAGCCCATTTGACTTCCAGGACAGTTTGTTTGGCTCTGCTCAGTTCATAAAAGTTTGCGCAGACCTGGCTCGGATTGCATTGGGCAAGAGAAGAGGGCTGGATAAGGAGAGGATAGATGAATACAACACACGTGAAGGATCTCTCTCCACACGTATCCCCCGTGTGCTCTGTGGTTACCATCTCACAGTCACTCCCCCTACTTCAGGTGGCACCTACTAGAGTAAACCATCAGCGATTACACAGTAAACATAAGACCAAAAAAACCTGTGCAGAAGGACGCTAAGAAAAGAAAAGAACAATTTACTAATGAGTAGCAATGAGGCATACCAGCAACGTAAGACTTTGGAGATTTCCCCCCTATGAATATTGACCGGCTGCCCTATTAATATCTTCCATTACAAATTGGAAAGCTGTTTTGCTGATGTTTACCTTGGAAACAATGGATGAGTCCTTAAAGAGTTCTTTAATCAGCCTCTACTGAGGAAGACTATTCAAAATGAAGTTCTGAAATCTGGAGTCTTCATCGTCCATTGTAGACTTACCTGTTGAATTAATACAATTGCAGATTTGCCTGTTGGATTGTTGAAAACTTACCTGTAAAAACAGTGGACTCACCTGTGGGGGTTTGTAAACACTGCATACGTAGTATGCTTAGTTGAATTACTACTAGGTTCATTGTAGACTTACCTGTTGTCTTATTGAAAAATTGTAGACTTACCTGTTGGATTGTTGAAAACTTACCTGTTGGATTATTGGGAAAATTGTGGATTTACCTGTTGGATTTTTTGTAAATACTACATATGTAGTATTCTTAGTTGAATTACCACCAGTTACATTGCTGCCACTCATTAGTAAATTGCTCTGTTCTTTTCTTAGCGTCCTTCTGCACAGGTTTTTTTGGTATCTGCTTGAGCCCCTTCCTTCTCTATAGTGTCGCCCACCTTGTGGAAGCGGCTTCCTGAGGAGGAGGTGTAGGACTTTCAAGGAGATAGCTGTGTTGATCTGTTGTAGCAAAATAAAGCAGAAGTCCAGTGGCACCTGAAAGACTAACAGCATTTATTTCGACAGGAGCTTTTAGTAAGTCACAGCTCACTGGCAAACCAGGCACAGACACAGTATGTTAAAATGCTCTCTATTGAGCAGCGATAGAAGGACATCAATGTTTTCTCACTCAAGTTATTTTTCTGTAAAAAGTCTGAGAAAAAAGAGCCTCTGCTGGGCCTTCTTCACCAGAGCCATGGTGTTAGCACTCCAGGTCAAGTTTTGCTCAATAGTCACTCCCAAAAACTTAAAAGTAGCCACCCTCTCCACTCGTTCTTCACCAATAACCATGTGAAGCAGAGGTCATGAGGTCTGGGGTTTAGACATTTTTAGGAGCTGCGTGTATGTGGGTGTGTGTGAAGTGCTGTCAGGTTGATTCTGACTTATGCCCCCCCCCAATGAATGAATGACCTCCCAAACGCTCTATTGTTAACAGTCTTGCTCGGGTCTTGCAAGTCAAGGGCCATGATGGCTTCCTTTATAGTGAATCAATGCATCTCGTGTTGGGTCTTCCTCTTTCCTGCTGCACTATTGTCTTTTCCAGGAGTTGCTGACAGCTGTTTTATTTGTGAGGGCTGTTCAAAGGGCCTAAGCTTGCAGGCATTTCTAGGGGTGTCCCCCCCCCCTTTTTTCCTGCTGCCCTTCTGTTTGGGGGGGAAGACAAAACAGATGTCTTAGGTGCCTGTTTCCAAATAGCAGATCACCAGGATTTTGGCTTTTTAGAAACCGAATGTGGTTCCCTGCCCACCTACAGATAATGGTTTGGAAGCCTGCTCTTTCCTGCCTAAACGTTTTAGTGTTTTTGTGAATGTTTTAAGGTCTGGGCTACATATGCAGGTGAGTGAAGTCGAATGGGAAGTACTACATCAACCTGCAGGAAGGGAATTGCATTTTGCAAAGTTCCTTCTCCAACTGGCAGTTCCCTCTTAGTAGGGTAACCAGCACAGCATTTGAACGGCTGGGCTGTAATCCTTCTCCCTGACATGTTAAATATTATATTTATGGGAAGTTTTTATGAGGAGGCAAGGGAGACAGTGAAACTGCGCATCTACCCACCGGCTGTCTGCAGTGGTATGGCCTGTCTGTTTCGTGTCTAAATGAGTGAACAGTTAATGACAAAATCAGAACCACATGCCCAAGCCACCTGTCTCTGACCTGCCCCCCCAGTAAAGTTCATAGCCTGCACATGGATTTTAACTTGGTGGTGATTGGAACTCAGTGGCAGAACATCTGTTTGGCATGCGGGAGGTCCCCGGTTCAGTCCCTGCTGTCTCCGGTCAGAGGGATCAGGTAGCAGGAGATGCGAAAGCCCTCTTGCCTGAGACCCTGGAGAGCTGCTGCCCGCCAGAGTAGACAACAACTGATCTTGACTGACTTGGGATATGTGTGCCTGTCTCCCAAGTTCAGTTTTGATACTCTGTCCACTGCTCCACCCTGATTCTTACCCGGTAGCCATATTTGGCCATTTCTCTGTTTTTGATACTCTGTCCACTGCTCCACCCTGGTTCTTATTTGGCCATTTCTCTGTTTTGCTTTGTTTCTTCATTCAGAAAAAGATGAAGGAGCTGGAGGAGAAGCTCCGAGAGGAAGAACATACGAGGAAGCTGATGCAGGACAAAGCAGCCGAGGTACACCTTGTGGCTGTGGTGGAGAAGGAGTAACTGCTGAGGAGATGTGTGATGGATGTCGTGTTCTTCCTACTCTTCCTTCAAAGAACTCGGGGGTGGTGGTGGTGGTGTATGTGGTCTGCTTCCTTCTCTTCCACCGTAGCCTCAAAACATCCTGTGAGGTTGGTCGTGCACTGCACCCCCGCGCACACGGCTTTTTTTTTCGTGTGGCACTGTCCCCCCCCGCACCTGGCATACCTGCAGATAAAAATCTGCCGCACTCTTATCCCACCCGCCCTTCCAGGAGTACCCAGTTTTAATCGCCCTATGAGGTCGGTCTGGTGAGTGGCCCACGGTCAACCAGTGAGTGAGTGCGACTTCAACCCAGTCCTCTGTGATTGAAGTCCAGCACTGCAGTGGCTCAAGTGGTTAAGATGCTGAACGGCAGGCTGTGGAAGGTCAGTAGTTCAGCAGTTCGAGACCCAGGTGCCGCATGATGGAGTGAGCTCCCGTCTCTAGTTCCAGCTCCTGCCAACCTAGCAGTTCGAAAGCAAGAAATTGCAAGTAGATAAATAGGTACCACTTCGGTGGGAAGGTAACAGCATTCCGTGCGCCTTGGTGTTTAGTCATGCCGGCCACATGACCACGGAAACGTCTTCGGACAGCGCTGGCTCTTCGGCTTTGAAACGGAGATGAGCACCGCAACCCTAGAGTCGGACTCGACTGGCTTTCGAGCAAGGGAACCTTTACCTTTACCTTTTACTCTTAACAGCTGCACCACACCAGCTGTGAAAAAGAGAGAGCCACAGAGGCCTCGCTGTCTGTCAGGCGCGAGCAGGTGACTAGTAAGCCACAATTAAATTGGATGGTCTTTCATACTGTGCAGAGGTCTGTCCAGTTGGGCTGTGGAACAAGATGTGACTTTGCTCCTGGTCTGCTGATAGGCCTCACCTTGCAGTCAGTGACCTGCAAATTCTTCCGGGGGGGAGAATGCGGCAATTTCTTATTAAAACCTCAAATCCTACCTGCAAGTTAGAGCTCCTCTCCTCCTGCTGTTCTGACAGGTCAGGGGTTGCAGCTTTTATGAGCCTCTGGGGACCTTTGAAATTCTGACACAAGGTGGCTGGGTGCAACTACAAAATGGCTGCCACGGGGGTGTGTGGGTGGAACCAACCATACTAAATCATGGCTACCAAAGGAGGTGGAGCCACACACACACAGGAAGCACAGGTGCTGGGGAGAAGAGCTACCACTGAAATAACGTTATTTTGATCTGCCCAGCCAACTGGAACTGCAGTGGCCAATCAGAAGCCCTGCTGGGCAAGTTCCCCACCTGGCCCCACGCATTTCCTAAAAACACTTGGTGGGCAACAGGAAAGGTGTCGGCGGGCGTGAAGGCTCCCACGGGGCACCATGTCGAGGACCTCTGGGGTAGCAGATGGTCCTCAGGCCCTTGATCTGTATAGCCGATCAGTTCGTCCATCTAAAGTAACAGCAGTGTTGTGTTCCTGTTGGGTTTTTTTTTTTTAATGGTGGGGATGAGAATAACTTTTTGCTGAGCATGCCTAAATTGTTCTGGCGGCGCTGTGGGCGTGGCTCAGTGGTAGAGCATCTGCTTGGCATGCAGTAGGTTCCAGGTTCAGTCTGCGATACCTGCAGGTAAAAAATCTGGCAGGAGGTGATGGGCAAGAGCTCAGCCTGAGACCCTGGAGAGCTGCTGCCAGTCTGAGTAGACAGTGCTGACATTGATGGACCAATGGGCTGATTCAGGATAAGGCAGCTTCATGTGTTCTCAGAGGAGGCTTTGGCATCATTCAGGCCAAGATTTGATGGAGGGCAGGAGGAGTAGCGTTCGGGAGCTCAGGTGTTTATTGAGGATTCAGTGGGATGCAAATTGTAGGGGGAGACGTAGGGGTAGGGATGCCTGACCCTTTTCCTGCTGCCTGCGGCTCGTCAGCTGTATCTCCCTCCTCTCGGCTGGTTTTCTCTGGTCTAGTTGTATGTTTTGAACCAGTTCTGTGCAGGAAGGTGACTTTCAGACTCTCTGTGGAAGGCCCGTTGTCTGATCCTCTCCACACTCGCCTGGGAATAAAATGCACAGCCGTGATGCAAAGCCAGCAAGCTAAGGACGGCTCCTTGGATGGTGCTCCCCCCCTCGAGATTACGTCCCTTTTTGACTAAAGAAATAACTTCCAGGCTTATCTCTGCAGTTGCAGACCGGATTAGAGACCAACAGGAAGCTGCTGCAAGCGAAGACGCAGTTGGCGCCGACGTTGCTGCCCTCGAAACCAAAGAAGATGAAGAAGAAAGCAAAGCAGTTGGACAAGGTAGAGCGAAAGCACAGAGATTGGATGGATTGAACTGAGTCAAGTTCACGGTTTCTGTATTGACCTATAAGGCCCTGAGTGGTCAGGGACCGACGTATCTACGGGACTGTCTCCTCAGTTATGTCCCCAGGGGAGCCTTGCGCTCCTTAGACAGCCCTATGCTGGTGATCCCCGGCCCCAAAGACGTCCGGCTGTCCTCAACCAGGGCCAGGGCCTTTTCAGTCCTGGCCCCGACCTTGGTGCCAAACTCCATCAGGGCCCTGCAGGATCTGATGCAATTCCGCAGGGCCTGCAAAGCGGGGATGTTCCACCAGGATTTTGGTTGAGGACAGCGACGGTTCCATCTAGGTGGTTGTAAACATCTATTTTGCCCTCTTCCCCCCCTGTCCGTGAAGTTGACTGGCAGTGGGAGATGGAATGGGGATTGGTTATTCGCCATCTGATTGTCTTTAATGTTCTACCAATGTTTTAACTGTTTTTATCTTGTTTTATTTGTGGTTATACATCACCCAGAGCCCCTGCAGAAGCAGGGCTTGGGCAATTCATAAATACAATTAATAACAATAATAAGAATAATAAGAATTAGTAGGCTTGATAACCCAGGGTGGGGAGAAACCTCCGTGTTTGGGGGCACCCTCTCTGTAACGGGTGGCAGAGTCTAACAGCGGCGGGCTGTTGCCTTCACACCCTGCCTCATTGCCCCCAGGGACAGTAGTCTTTGGAAGAAGGATGCTGGAGCAGGAGAAGGGCGTTTCTGCCTGCTCAGCCTCCACCCCTGGCTGCTCAGGCCTGAAAAGGAGCAGTGACCTGGTGCTGTGTAGTTGAGTGTCAAAGGAGAACGTTCTGCCTGCTGGTTGGGCTTTTCCACCTGCTGGCTGGAAGTCGAGGGGCCGTGGCTCAGGGTCAGAACACCCGCTTTGCACACAGAAACTCCCAGGTTTGATCCCCGTCCCTTTCAGATAAAAGGATCAGGTGTTAGCTGATGCAACCGACCTCTTCCTGAGACCCTGGGGAGCCGTTGCCAGTCAGAGTAGACAATACTGAGATTGATGGACCAAGGGTCTGACTTGATAAAAGGCCGCTTCCTGTGTTCATACGTACAGGGTAATAGAGGGGGTTGCCTTTGTTTCTGTGCTGTCCGGAGATTTTAGGCTGCCATTTTATGGTTTTGGATTTGCAAGCTGTTCTGAGTCCCACTTTTCCTGAGTACAGTGGAATAAAACTATATCAAATCTGGGGTCCGATTCAGAAAGCTCTCAAGTTCTTTACGGACGTGCAGGCTTGTATGCACATCTGCATGTGCCACATAAGAACATAGGAGACGCCAATGTTGGATCAGGCCAAAGGCCCATCCAGTCCAACACTCTGTGTCACACAGTGGCCAGAAATAACAGGTGCCATCAGGAGGTCCACCAGTGGGGCCAGGACATTAGAAGCCCTCCCACTATTGACCCCCCCCCCCAAGCACCAAGAAGACAGAGCATCACTTGCCCCAGAGCCCCCCTTGTGGCTAATAGCCACTGACGGACCTCTGCTCCATATGCTTATCCAGTTCCCTCTTGAAGCCGTCCATACTTGTAGCCGCCACCACTGATCCCCCTCCCTTTCAGATTAAAGGATCTGAAAGGGACGTGTAGCTGCACGTGCGTAAAGACCACAGACAAGTGGTCTATTGCCTAGGGGCAGCAGGGCTCGATGGAAGTATCTTTTCAGTGTGATAGTTTCTCTTGTCTCCTTTAGAGCGATTCTGCAGTGATCCACTTCCACCCCCAGCCCCACTACAGGCTGCGACTGGGCGACGTGCCGTTTGTCGCTGGAAAGGTGAGGGGACCTTAGGAACGAAGAATGCGGTGGCTAAGTAGGATCCTGGCGGATCAGCTGTGGTACACCCATGAATCCCGGGATGTGGGAGACAAAGAATAAAAACACTGCCTTTGTTCTGTGCTTTTGAGAGTTTCCCAGAGGCGCCATGTGGGCCTGGATGGGGTCCAGTTGAGCTGGTTCCCCGTCTTCCTTGTCATTTTGTTTCTAACCTGCCTCTGCTAGGAGCACTGAATGATTCACTTTCAGTTACTGATTTTTTTTAAAAATGCATGGGATGGGGTGAAGCAAGGAATGTGTGGGGAAGTCTTCCACATGGACCTTGGAAAACCACTGTAATCTGGATTTCCTAATGTTAGGACTTGCGATCGCCCTCACTTGAGATGCACCACGCAGAAGGGCACATGGTTGTACTTGTTAGGACGGCTGTTGGTAAAAGAGGCGGTAGGCATGTGTTAGACCATGAAGTCTGCAGAAGGTCCCATCCCACCCGTCTCCTGTTGAAAAAGTTTCCTAGGGAAACAGGCCTGGGAAATCCCTACCTGAGACAGCGGCGAGCTGCTGCCGGTTGAAATAGCCGGTACTGGGCAAGGCGAGGCAGTGTTCTGACTGTACGATGCAGTTTCATATACTCACGTCGGTTGGGAAAGGTGTTAACTTTGTAGCTTAGCGTAGAATTTCCTGCAGATCCTCTGTCCTCTTCACCCCTCGCCTGCGCTTCTTTCAGTCCACCAGCCCCAGCCACTCCGTCGGGGCCAACGTCCAGCACGTCCTGCACCTCATGAAGCATCACTCGAAAGCCCTTTGCAACGACCGTGTGGTGAGTGAAGTCCCGTTGGGCAAGCACGCAAGCAGAGGCCGGAGGTCCTCCGAGTCGTCTGTCTCTTCCGCCTCCCAGGGGGACCTTTCCGAGGTGCTGCTGACCTTGCAGGACGAACTCGGGCAGATGAGCTTGTGAGTCACAACTCTGGCATGAACCGTATGCGCACCGTTCTCTTGGGCGCTCTGCCTTGTTTGTTTTGGGGGTCTGCTGGTTTGTAGACAGGTTAGAGGCCTGATTTAAATGTGATGCTGAGAAGTAAAAACACATTCTCCTGTGACTTTGCCCTTGCACAGTGTCTCTTTCAAATTGGGCTGTTAACTGTGCAAAGTCTGCAACACACTTGACCGCTTTTTATGGGTAGTAGCCCAGTTCAAATGAGATGCCGAGTGCAAAATCCCACAGGAAAGTGCTTGTGCCTCCTCAACATCATGTTTAAATCAGGCCTGAATTTTGTGGAAGGGGAAGTTCTGGGATTTCTGACACCACCCTTTCCCCAAGTGCTAGAAAGTTATCCAAACTGCTTTGGGGACAAGAGGGAACTGGATTTTGAAATTAAAATTTTTGAAAAACTGGTCAGTACTTGTGTAGGATGGGAGACCACCAAGGAATGCCAGGGTCGTGTCGCAGAGGCAGGCGATGGCAAACCGCCTCTGAATGTCTCTTGCCTTGAAAACCCTACGGGGTCGCTGTAAGTCAGCTGCCACTTGGTTCCACACCACCTCGAGGGGTTCCCTGCCCCCAGCGAATACATTCTGATAAGGTACATAAAGAGTATTCCTAATGAGCTGGTCTTTCCCTTGCAAGCCAGTGACCACCAAGAGCTAGCAAAACTCATCCAGGATGCGCCAACAGATGACCTGCGGGAAGACCTGGAGAGGGACCGGAAAGGGCTGGTGAAGAGGATGGAGGCCAAGGCGGAACAAATCTCTAAAATTCAGCGGCATCGGGCACGGGTGAGCTACACTTGTGCAGTCTTATTCCAGTCTTAAATGCTGTACATGTTTCCCTCCCTGCAGAAGACCAGGTGTGTGGTATGTGTGTGTGTTCAGAAACTTTGCTCTCACACACAGTTTTTGAGATTGTGATTTCCTTTCCCCCAAAGTTCCTTTTAACTAACAGCATCTAGGAACCTGGTTTTAGAAGAATTGCATCTCAGATTTTTAACTTGGTTCCCCAGTTTGTGATGTAATGAGAGAAGAATCCATAAACAGTCAACACCCTAAAATGTAGTTGAGAGTATGCATGGAATTTTCAGAAACTTTGCTCTCACACACAGTTTTCGAGATTGTGATTTCCTTTTCCCCAAAGTTCCTTTTAGCTAACAGCATCTAGGAACCTGGTTTTAGAAACATTGCATCTCAGATTTTTAACTTGGTTTCCGAGTTTGTGATGTAATGAGAGAAGAATCCACAAACAGTAAACACCCTAAAATGTATATGAGCAAGTTGACAGTATGCATGGAATTAAGGTGGATCACTTATTTGGAAATCCCCCCCCCCCATGCTCAGAGGCCAGATTTGCTAAGCATTCAGGGGCTTAAGCTGACTGTAAAAAAGGTTTCCCTAATATCCACCCAGTACCTTCCTGTGACGATCTCCTATTGTGGAGGACTGAATTTCACTTTAAATCATACTTTATATTTATAAAATAGGTAGTTCCAGCTGCCACCAGGAATTTTGTTTAAATTCTAAATCCCCTTTCTGCTTCTGGTTTTGGTATTGTGACCCAGGGTCTTGGCTTTCGAGGATCTATGTGGTCCTGAGGAATAGTGGATAAGGCTTCTGGGATAAAATTAAATAAAAAGGATTTATTGAAAGAACAAATTAAGAGGTTGTTTAAACTGTAACTGTTTAGGAAATAGGTATTCGTAAGTATGTATGTCAACTGTATCACACAGGCTATTCTCTTTGTAACTTTAACTCTCTTTAAGAACTGTAGTTTCACTTTACAGATATATACTGCTTTCTCTTTCTCTGATACCACACATCACTGACTTCACATAGAACTGATTCCACACAGAACTGTCAGCTCTCTCGCTCTCTCTGACTCCACACAGCACTGTCAGAGCTCTCACTGACTGAAATCCAACTGAACAACATCAACTGCTTTTTCTCCAACTGTCATTATTCCAACTGTCATTCTCCAATCTCTGACACACCTACACAGATCCACACAGAATAACTCCTCCCACACTCTGTCATCCACCAATCACGGCCCACTAGTTACTATCAAACATTTAAAGGGACACACACACTCTCAAAAAAGGCATCATCACACTTCCCACCCTTAATTTAAACCCATTGATCTTCGACGTGGTCTCTGTGCTTCACACCCATGGGATTCAGTGTGCATGCGCTGGATCGATCGGTGCTGTAGCAAGCTCTTTTCTAACGGATTTTCGCACCCAGTCCCTCCGGGCATGCACAGGAACCCCACCGCGCATGCCCAGAGGGGTGGGTGCGGACATCCTGCCAGTTCCTTTCTTACCGCTGCGTTGGAAAGACCTCTTTCGTCGTTGGTCTTCCCCTCAACCGCCTCTTCTCCAGACTGAACATTCCCCAGGCCCCTCAACCTTTCCACACAGTTCTGGGATTCCCCACTCCTCCACTTGCAGCTGCTGGTTGACCTTGGGCAAGCTGTAGTTCTGTCAGAGCTGTTCTCTCAAAGGCAGTTCTGTCAGAGCTCTTTCAGCCCCACCTACCTCACAGGGTGTCTGTTGTGGGAAGGGGAAGGGAAAGGAGTTTGTAAGCTGCTCTGAGACTCTCAGTGAAGGGCGGGGTATAAATCCAATCTCTTCTTCTCTTCATATTCTTCCCTGACATCCTAAATCTTCCTCTCTGAGCCACACAAGAAAAGCAGGTTGCTTACCAGTAACTGGTGATCTTCGAGTGGTCATCTGTGCATTCACACCCATGGGATCTATTGCGCATGTGCTGGATCGATTGGTGCTGTAGATACAACGGATTTTCGCACCCAGTCCCTCCGGGCATGCACAGGAACCCCACCGCGCATGCCCAGAGGGGTGGGTGCGGACATCCTGCCAGTTCCTTTCTTACCGCCGCGTTGGAAAGACCTCTTTCGTCGTCGGTCTCCCCCTCAACCGCCTCTTCTCCAGACTGAACATTCCCCAGGCCCCTCAGCCTTTCCGCACAGGGCTTGGTCATCCTCATTGCTCTCCTCTGCACCCCCTCCATTCTGTCCACATCCTTTTTGAATCCTTTTAGTGCGTAGATACCTTTCATCTTGTATGGGACTCCCTCGAATTTTGCTGCTTTTGTGGTCGGCAAGCCCCCCCCCACCCCCCAATTACTTTTCGATGTTATAATGATAAAGAGCAAAAATGTCTTGGACACAGGTAGTTCAGATAGGAGGAAATAAATTCTTAAGAGGACCGGGACACGTGTAGTAGGTTTTAGAACTGGGAGGAAAGAGCAGGAAGAGAAGCTTTCTAAAGCAAAGAGAAGGCCACTGGAGACAAACGCGTGTGTCCCTTTATGTTTCCTCTCTAGCTGGAGAAACACAGGCGGGAAGGCAAAGCCAAGCACTGTCGCTCTCAGCAGCCAAGCAGCGTCGGCGAAGGGAAAAAGACGCTGGCGAAGGCGAAAAGCGTCGGCTCGAAAGCAATGCCCGGGGAGAAGGGCAAGAAGAGCCTTCAGCTGCTGAAGGAAATGCAGAGCATACAGACCTCCCTTCAGAAAGATGAGATCAGTTGGGAGTACTGAGGTGTTTCCTTGTGTGATTTTTCTCTTCTTTGGGTTCGTTTTGCACTTTTCTCTCTCCCTCTTTTTGGCTCCCGCCCAACTGGCTTCCCTGGAACAAAACAAGGTCAAAGTTGCACTTGGTAAAACGAGAAGCCCTCCGATTTTCCACCTGTAGGCCCAATTGCATCGCAGCCCCTAATCCTGCTGGGAGGGGGGGGGGAATGAGAAGACCCTTCTGTTACTTCAGTATCTCTCCAGCCCTTTTACTTTCCTGTCAACTATCCCTACTCTTTTTTTTTTTCCTTTTTGGGTTGTTTTTTTTTTGCCACGAGGCCTACTCCTTGGCCTACTTCCCTCTGCCTCAGGCAGTTAATTTAAATTGCTTGCTTGGGTCAACTCTCCTCTGAGGCTGGTGGCGGATGATGGTTTGCCCCCACGAGAGAACCAAAGATGGTACGACGGAGGTCCTGTTTCCCGTGTGGGTGGGTGGTTGGGGTATGCACATCACTCTTGTCATCTCTGGGTACGGAGTTTGTGCGGCGCTTCCAAATCATGCACAGTGTTTGGGTTTTTTTTGGCCTTGCCGTGTCTTCGATCGGAAAGTATGCGTGCTGCACAGGTAACGAAGGTTCTATTGCAGATCTTCTACTCTTTTCAGTCTGTCTCTTGCCTCAAGGGTCACTTTGCATTTCTTTTTAAAAACATGAGGGGACATTTCGCATGCTTCAGCTGTTCACACCTCAGCATTTCTAGAAAGAGGCGCTAGGCTTGAAGCTTACCAGTTCCACAGGGAATTATGCAGGCTGGCCATCTCTCTTGACCTTCGGTCGCATCCCATGGACTTGTTTACCTCTGCCTAAGGATGCTAATGCTTTTTGTTGCACAGAGCAAGGAAATCTTCAGCCTTTTGTCCCCAGTAATGTGATTTCAGAATGGAATTTGCATAGCCATTTGGAAGTTCTCGGCTTTGGGTTTCCTTCCCCTTTTTAGTCTTTGCGGAAGAGCAGGAGGCAGGCGTCTCGTGTTTTTAAAGACACTTCAGATCATGCTGTTTTTTGTACCGGCAGCTTGTTTTTAGCAAACTCCCATGCGCTGGGCGAGAAGCTCTGGTGTTTGTGATGGTACCGAAAAGATTTTGTACATGCTTGCACACATGGATATTATTTATTACATTAATAACATAAAGCGTTTCCAATGATTGGAATGTACCAGTGACTCACAATTGCCTGTGTTCTCTCCAAGGTTTGATTGGAATCCAATAAAGGCGACTTGCTAATTGAGAAAGTGAAATGAAAAACCCGTTGTCTTTCTTGGAATGCCTCTTTCCAAGAACTACTTGAAACCCCCAAGATGACATCTGTCTAACAAATGTGAAAAGGGGATTGCAAGAAGAATTTAAACTGCTCTGTCAAGTATACTGTTTGCTGTTTATGGCTGCAGTTAGCACTTCACAGCATTGGCACTGGCCAGTAGCCCCTTGCTAAAGCAAGAGATGAAACAGCTGTGGCCCCTCCACAAGTCTGTTGTTTGTTCCTCTATTTTTAACCTGAAGTGAGCATGCTTCTTTGACCCTACAGCTCAAAGGTGAGCTGTCCCTACAGCACTGCCAGAAGCAAAAGGGAGGGAATAATTGGCTCAGGCTACTAATGGCCTGTTGGGATCTTTCCTGGTAAGTCAAAGGACCAATGCATCTGTGAGATCCCTCTATTGTACAGACTCTTCAATAAAGTTGTTGGGTTTTTTTTTGGGGGGGGGACTGGTGTGGGATAACGAACCTTGTAAATATACCACTCTGGGTTCACTTACCTTGACTGTCGCATAAAAATGGCAGAATATCAATTGAAGCAAGAAAGGAGCAGGAAAGAAACAAGTTTTTTGGTATTCCATTTATCTCTTTCTTTGAGAGAGACGATACATAGTTAATAACGGAGTTTAAAAACAGCAACCTACCCCACCCCACCAAAGGCATCGTTGAAAGCCTAGTTTACATAAATAAAGACAGGGTAGCTCCCCAGAACTTGGTCTACAGATGTGATGAAAGCAGAACTAAGTGACTGAATGGACCATCACTTTATAAACTACCGTGGATGATTCCTTACATGAAAGTGCCCTGTAAGCAGAAAGGTAGCAGAACAGGGCAGGCTTGGACACCTTTCATAGTGAAGTGCTAGTGTTCCCCCCCCATGGCAGAATATCAATTGAAGCAAGAAAGGAGCAGGAAAGAAACAAGTTTTTTGGTATTCCATTTATCTCTTTCTTTGAGAGAGATGATACATAGTTAATAACGGAGTTTAAAAACAGCAACCTACCCCACCCCACCAAAGGCATCGTTGAAAGCCTAGTTTACATAAATAAAGACAGGGTAGCTCCCCGGGACTTGGTCTACAGATGTGATGAAAGCAGAACTAAGTGACTGAATGGACCATCACTTTATAAACTACCGTGGATGATTCCTTACATGAAAGTGCCCTGCAAGCAGAAAGGTAGCAGAACAGGGCAGGCTTGGACACCTTTCACAATGAAGTGCTAGTGTTTTTCCCCCCCTGCTGGGAAACATTTGGCAAACGTATTGCAGGTCTCTTCAGCCCTTCTCTACTGTCTCATTCTACCACAAGTGCAGAGTAAGTCTGCCCCCAAGTGGACATTCCGTTCTCCGTGCCACTACTTCACGAAGAAACAGATGTGCGCTTTGCTCCCAGTAACAAAGACCAGATGCTGCAGCTAACAAGAGGGGACTTAATTTGGTGACCCTTCGTCGAGGAGGCACAGCCCCAAGTCAACTTGCCTACTATGACCTCAGTCTTGTCTGCAACACCGTCAGTGGGGCAATCTGTGCCCGTGAAGGTGGTTGACTAATCGGAAAGCACCAGGAAACTAGGAGCGGTGATGACTGAGAAAGGGTCTGGAAGGATTTTGGGAATCCCAGCCTCGATGAAGCTGTAGGGGGCCAGCTTCCAGACCTGAGATCCAATGGCCCACGTTGCATCTTCCCCCCCACTCGCTCAGGGCAATGTACTTGCGGTTCCCTCCAAACTGATGGCATATCAGCCAGTTTGGTGTAGTGACTTGCCTACTATGACCTCAGTCTTGCCTGCAACACAGTCAGTGGGGCAATCTGTGCCCGTGAAGGTGGTTGACTAATCGGAAAGCACCAGGAAACTGGGAGCGGTGATGACTGAGAAAAGGTCCAGAAGGATTTTGGGAATCCCAGCCTCGAAGCCGTAGGGGGCCAGCTTCCAGACCTGAGATCCAATGGCCCACGTTGCATCTTCCCCCCCCACTCGCTCAGGGCAATGTACTTGTGGTTCCCTCCAAACTGATGGCATATCCCTCCTGTCAGAGTCAGACACAGGCTGGAAAGGATCTGCACTCAATCCTTCCTGCAACTGCTTCCCCAAGCCACCTTCTCCGGCAGGCGGACTTCCTCTCTCACGTTTTTATCCCATCCTCCTTCCAAGGAACTCTGCAGAGTTCTCCTCCTCCTGTCTTTCGTCTTCCAGCAGCCCTGTAAGAGTGTGAATCTGTGAGGTTCGTGGCCGCGTGGGCCTTTGAATCTGCACCCAACACTACTCTCGACACCATAATGGCTTTCTTGGGTGCCGCAGACCTCCACATGGACACGGGGTGGGGTGGGGTGGTGGCCTGTGAGAGATGAAAACACAACATTTCCTCTGCCCCTTTCTACAATCCCACTGTGTCCCGGGAAAGGCAAACACATTGGTTTGGAGGACTTAAGCATCCGCCCAATAGGAGCATGGAAAGAAAAGAAACTCAAAGGTTAGCCTATCGTTTGCCAGTTGTACGGGATAGGTTTGCCAGCGCTGGGTTGGGAAATACCTGGCAACTTGGGGGTGTGGGCCAGTGTTCCCTCTAAGCTGAGTTAGTGTGAGCTAGCTCACAGTTTTTTAGCCTCTGGCTCACACATTTTTGTCTCTGTTCAGGAAGGATGGCTCCAGAGCAAACTAATTTATGCAGTAGCCAAATCGCTCGCTCACTACTTTAATGCCAGTAGCTCATAAAGTAGAATTTTTGCTCACAAGACGCCACAGCTTAGAGGGAACATTGGTGTGGGGCCCTGGGGAGGGTGTAATGCCAGACAGCCCACCCTCCAAAGCAACCATTTCCTCCAGGGAAACCGATCTTGGTTGTACGGAGATTAACTGTTAACAGCATGGGCTCTCCAGGTACCACCTGGGGGTCGGCAACCCTTGGGGGGGGGACCTCAAGAGAAATAAAGAGAGCAAAAGAAGAGGCCTGGGGCCTGTGGGTGGTGTTCAGATATTTAAAAACAGCATCAGAAGATGCTGCCGTTCCTTCTGTTCCCATATGCACTGAGAACAGAACAAGAAGTGATGGCTTCAACAACAGGCGCCGCAGATCTTCAGACTAGCCCTACCCACAGTACTGTTATGTGACAAGCGGCATCTGGTGAAATTTACACACTGAAGCAACTCTTGTAGAAGAAGAGGAGATTGGATTTATACCTGGCCCTTCACTCGGAGTCTCAGAGCGGCTTACAAACTCCTTTCCCTTCCCCTCCCCACAACAGACACCCTATGAGGTAGGCGGGGCTGAGAGAGCTCTTTCCAGAACTCTCCTTGAGAGAACAGCTCTGGCTTGCCCAAGGTCATCCAGCAGCTGCAAGTGGAGGAGTGGGGAATCAAAACCGGTTCTCCCAGATTAGAGTCCGCGCACTTAACCACTACACCTAAGTGGCTCCCAGTTTGTGCACCCTGCTTCAAACCCATGGGGGGGAGGGAGACATCGAGGTAAAAAGACCAGGAATTTTACCGAGTGATACGTGGTGTACCTCTTCGGGTCCAAGCAAACCATAATCCATAGTGAACTGGCTCCTCTGTTCCAGATGCTGGACTAGGCAAAGGAAAGGGAAGAAAGTACGCAAAAATGCTCTGGGGATACAAGCCCACCTGAACCCACGACGGGGCCCACCGGCCTCAAGTAGGATCGACAGAAGTGATACAGGGGATGGCTCTCTTCTAGCAAGAGTGGCAAAGGGTGCATCACGATGAAGCAAGACCAGCTCTGGAGGGAGAAGAGCACATTTCATGCCCACTCAGTGGGATTCCTCTGGGGGGGTGAAGTGTTATTGCTGGAACAGCAGTCTTCAGTGAAGCATTTCCCCTGGATTAGTCAATGGACACCAGTCTCATTATTGGGGAGGGGGGGATAAGAGGGTGTCCTTGGGAGGCTGATGGGGAAAGGGAGGGAGTTAAGCCTGCCTCCCGTAATTGACTGGAGGAGGAGAGCTCGTTCCACTTGCAAAACCAAAATTGCCTTTGGCTCATCTTACTGGTGATTGTGATGCTTCCCTCAACTTCCAAACCACCACACTGGCCCTTGGGAATTACTTTGGCACAACAGGGAGGACTTTACAATGTGCACCTTGGTCAGCATCAAAGACGCACCCACTTATCACTGAAGCCAACGGAATACAACGGAGGTGTGCCTGCCCGACGGTACAAGACACTCCTTTTCAAAGCCACTGCAAGTTTCCCAGACTGAAACGGCAGCTATCAGAATGTCAGAAAGCAAAACTGCACCACCCACTGACTACTACTACGCGATACAACTTGAATACGTTTCCTGTCCGTGCAGAAGGTCCTTGAGTTAGAATAGTTATTATTCTCCGCTTCTTCCATCAGAATTATTTACGCCCACCCCACCAGTTTAAAAACAACACCAAACAAACACATTTTGCGTCTCTCCACGGGATTTGTAGCGACTTTGCCGATTGCTGCAATGCAAAATCCAAGGCAGAACTGACAGATTTCAGGTAGGGGTAGTGGGAGAACGGAGAGTTTCCGGGTAGTGGCAGCATGAGAGATTCCAGGTAGGGCAAGTGGCAGAACAAGAAGCCCATATTGATGCCATCATCCCCCCCCCCCCCCCCCCGCTAGTGTTGATATTTGTGTCATAAAGATGTTATGATACATCTGCTGGGTCTAAAGAAAGGGAAAATGAGAAGCAATGCAGGACCCTTGCTCTTTTCCATAAGAAGATGTTTCTGCTATTAAATAATGCATTTTGTTAGCACTGGGACATGGGTTAGCTGTTATGTACACAGAGACCTCCAGCCAACCGTACCTATCCTCATCGATACCAAACTTGCAACAGCTCTACTGATGACAGGAAAACCTTGTATAGAGAGCAGTCGAAGTGCGAGAAGAGTCTCTTGTGCAGTGGACAATGCGCGACCGATGTTGTTAGCCCTTGATACCACAAGTCAGGAGCGGAGCCGAG